CTCTCTCTCTCTCTCTCTCTCTCTCTCTCTCTCTCTCTCTCTCTCTCTACTGTGTGTGACACACACACACGCGCGCGCGCACCCCCAGGCACGGCCAACTCAACAGTTTCATGTGTGCATCAACTGACCAGCCTGCCAAATTGAATGTGCAAAATGAGAAGGAACCTTCGGCAAAAACATCAGAAAAAGAAAACCTGGTATGGACTAAGGAGCTGTCAGATGCAACTACTTTCTGTTTCTCCTCGCAGTCCTTCTCCCGCTCCTTCTCCCATTCCTCCTCCCGCTCCTCCCGCTGCTCCCACTCCTCCTCCGCCAAGCAACGTGATTAAGATCCCGCCATAGCCCCGCTCTCGCTCCTTCTCCCGCTCCTCCTCCCTCTCCTCCTCCCTCTCCTTCTCCCGCTCCTCCTCCCTCTCCTCCTCCCTCTCCTTCTCCCGCTCCCGCTCTTGCTGCTCCTCCCACTCCTCCTGTCGCTCCTTCTCCTGCTGCTTGTCCTGCTCGCTCCCGCTCCTTCCCCACTCCTTCTCCCACTCCTACCACTCCTCCCGCTTCTCGCACTCCTCCTCCTCCTCCTCCTCCTCCTCCTCCTCCTCCCCCTCTCGCTCCTCCTCTGCCAAACAACGGGACAAAGATCCCGCCATAGCCCCGCTCCCGCTCCTTCTCCTGCTCCTCCTCCCTCTCCTCCTCCCGATCTTCCCCCCGTTCCTCCTCCCTTATCCCGCTCCTCTTCCCGCGCCATAACCCCGCTCCTGCTCCTTCCCCGCTCCTTCTCCCACTCCTCTCCCGCTCCTTCTCCTGCTCCTCCTTTTCCTCCTCTTTCTTTTCCACCTCCTCGCGACTTCATCATCTCGCACCTTCTCTTCCTCTTTCTCGTCTTCGTCCTCCTCGTTACTGCTCTCACTTGTGTGATACGTGGCGCACCGGGGCATTTCTTTTCCTTTTTTTTGGCCGTTATGTTCTTCTCCTTCTTCCCTCTTTCTGGTCTCATCCTTGATCTTATCCCGATACCTGGTTTCCCACCTCTTTCTGCTCCCTCTTTTGCCGATCCCGACCTCCCTCTATCCCGATCCTCCTCCCCGGTCTGACACCTCTTTCTCCTCCCGCCTTCCCCGATTTTGACTTCCCTTTATCCCAATCCCTTTTCTTGCTCGTCTCGATGTCTGCTTTGATGCCACTTCCCTCTAACTTGGCCTCGATCCTCCCACCTTCACCGATCCCCATCTCCCTCTCTTTTTGCTCCCGCCTACCCAATCTCGACCTCCCTCTACTGCAATCCCGCTTCTTGCTCATCTCAATGTCTACTCCGATCCCGCTTCCCACTGACCCGGCCTCGATCCACTTTCCCTGATCCACACACACACACACACACACACACACACACACACACACACACACACACACACACACACACACACACACACACACACACACACACACACAC